TTATGAGATAGAATCTCATAATTATGAGATAGTATCTCATAATAATGAGATAGCTAAGTCATAATTATGAGATAGTTAAGTCATAATTATGAGATAGTTAAGTCATAATTATGAGATAGCTAAGTCATAATTATGAGATAGTTAAGTCATAATTATGAGATAGTTAAGTCATAATTATGAGATAGTTAAGTCATAATTATGAGATAGCTAAGTCATAACTAAGAGATAGCTAAGTCATAATTATGAGATACAAGTTTTATTTTTTATCAGGGTGGTGGAAATGGGCTTCCATACATTTTAAATAAAAATTGTAAATGCTGTAAAAATGTATTATTTCAGTTGTTAAAAGGTGAACAATTGTCTCAGGGAATGTTTGCATAACTCCAACTCCAATCTTCCTGTCTTTTGGGCTGTGTCCTTCGGTTCTGCATCAGTAAGCGTGAAGAGCCGTCTCAGACACTGACAACCACTTGGGAAAAATGCTGAATGCGTTATGAGACGACTCAAAGTGACAAGACAAGCAGTAGAGCTGCCACTTCTTGCTTTAAAAGAGAGGGGGGGGGGGGAAGAAATCTATCTGCAAACTCACAGAAGACACGGAGCGAGCAGCCCTCAGCCCTGCCTCACTGATCTGCAGCCTGTAATCCATCACACTTAAAACTCAAAAATGATATTTCTCTGTGGTGATTCATTGTCCTCACTGTGAAAAATGATCAGGAACACGGTTGTTTTTTTTTTGTGTCCATTGGTATTCTCTCACTGTTTACAGTAAAATCATGATCTAGTCCTTCAGTGACACGGCCAGGTTGCACGGTTTTATCACTTCAGGGCTGAAACCACTTTGTTACAGGGTTATGTAATTTGCTTCAAAGCTTCCCAACATTTATATCAGCAGCAGCTCCTAAGCTCTTACACTTATGCGATTTTCTTGACGGCATTTCAGGAAGATCCGCTAAACATTTAAGCTCTCAGTGACAACTTTAGAAAGAGCCGAAGCAGGGAAAAAAAAAAAGGCAATGGGTCACATTAAATGTCTTCGCTCATCAACAAATACATTTCAGGAGACAAAACTACCTCTTCTGTGGCCTCGGTTAAAAGAAACACAACATGTCAGAGTTTAGACATAAATTCAAACGAGGACAAGTTATTTTGGTTCAGCTCAGGAGGAGAGACAGTAAAGGTGTGTCGAAGTGATGCTGATAAGAAATGATGTGTGACAGAAACACTGAACCAATTTTAGAAAACAAGAAAGTTATTTTTAAAATGCTGAGGTAATCTGTAGGTTCAGACTGTGTGTGTGTGTGTGTGTGTGTGTGTGTGATGAGGATGTTTGTGCCTAATCAGAAACTCAAAAGAAATTAGGAGAAACTAACTAACATTTCATTATTTTGTGTTTTTTGATATTAAATTAAAACATTTCAAAGGTTTTCTACTCAGTTGTATTCACGAAGAGCTAAATCCTTTCATTAAGCCCTAAAATTCACAAGTCCATCTTTTTTCTTTCTTTCTTGTTACACCAGTTTATCACATTGATTTTTTTCTCTATACAATCCTGTTTTTTTTTTGTTTTTTTTGTATTTGGACTACAATGGGAACAAGTTGTCTCACTTTCTTATTGGTAAATAAATCAAATCAAACAAACCTATAATGAAGTAGCCACCTACTGCATTAATCATTAAAAAGTACATAATATACATAAAAAATTATTTTCAAATGTATTTGTTTTAGTTAGATTTTTCAGCTGTCTTGGTCCATTTTGTTAATATTTAAATAAATGTTCATTGTACACAATTTAACAACAAGCCCAGTGAAAATACTAAACTTGTCCACTTGTATGAGGAAATATTTACATGCAGCAATGTATTTGTGACCCATCATGTCAAAATGAGGATTAAGTCAAATTTGGTCAAAATGATTTAATCACATTTTCAGATTCCTGGATCATTCTGACATCACAAGCTTATCCTGAGATGTGAACTAGTCTCGTTGGTTATGATAACACGTTACTGTTTGGTCTGAATTTTAATTTTATGGAAATTTATTGAGTAATTTTTGATGTCAATATAAAGAGGAAACCTCAAATAGTAGTTGTATTAGGGTTGGGCATAATCGTATCGTGTGTGATTAATCGTCAGAAAAACATTAATCGATTAATTTTTGGCACTTGACGATTAATACGATTAATGCCAGCAGGTAGAATCCGCTCGCTGCTCCTCTCTGCTTCAAATACGACGAACATTAAAAAAAGTTCTGTAACTTATTAATCTGTCAACACAATTTAAAATTTGATGTATAGCCTGAAGTCTGTAATTTTGACACAATTTGGAACAGATTTTTATGAAGAGCAAATCTTTCCCACTAAATTGGTCATGTGACCAGGATATAAGTGTGCAGGGACTCCAGGGGATTAATCGTCAAATTAATCGTTATCGGCTAAATACCACAATTAATCGTGATTTATTTTTTTTTCCAATATTGCCCAACCCTAATTTGTATATAGTTGTAAAGAAACAAAAACATTGCTAGCTTACAGGGAAAAATTCAAAATTTTAAGGTGTTTTTCCTCAAAATCAGTTTTTTTTTTTTTGTTACTGCTAAAAATGCTTCAAAAAATGTTTTGGATTATATTTTAGACAGTTCATTCAAATGATACATTCTATCATTCATTATATTTTTGACAAAATACAATTTTGCACTTTTTTTTAAATATCTGCCTATTAAATTTTGGACTTAATCCTCGTTTTTATGTGATGGGTGACATTTTGTGTAAAGAAATACAAAAAAAAACTGGAACAAAATGATGCAGCATGTTGTTTTATTATGAATAAATGTATGAATGTATGCAGCACACTGAGGTCTAATAAATGCATTATTTTTAGAGCCAAATCAAAACGCAGCGCAGCCGTGATAAAAGGCAGACACACGCACGCACGCACGCACGCACGCACGCACGCACGCACGCACGCACACACACACGCACACACACACACACACACAGAGTCAGAGCAGGATTCTCAACAACAATACAAATTAAAGCTGAACCGAAGGCGCCATTAAAAACAGACCTGCTGCTCCTCACGAGCTGGACTCCTCACTGCGCACGTGCAGACAACAAAAATTACGGTTTTCGACAAGAACACGCGCTGTTTTTATTTTATTTTATTTTTTGTCTGTTTTTAATAGCGCCACGGTGTGAGACATTAATTTCATGGAGGTATGAAATGAAGCCCCCCTGCAGGTGATAGTGAGCCGGTGTGTTGAACACTAACCTGTTGTTAGCGGGGGGAGCTCCGGGGTCTCCGTCAGTCAGCTCGGTTCTCCATTCCCCCGCTGGACGCGACGTTTCTCGGCTGACTTCACCCAAACGCGTCCTTCTTCCAGAACCGCAGAGCTCGTCACTTCATGACAGAAAAACAACACGGCTGTGCTGACTGAGCCCGGGCAGACCTCCTCTTCAGCTCGCCTCGCGCTGCACTCCTCTCCTCCTCGCGCCGCTCATCTCAGGAACTCGGGAGCGGAAGTGCCCCGTCGCTCCTGGCAACCTGTTGCCATAGCGATCCTCCAGGTAGAGCCTACATCTGCCGCAAGTGGATGAGTTAAAGGTGTGGTCCTGGAGGACTGAAAACTTCATCACAGTTTGTGTTTTCACCTGGATTTAATCTGAGACACCCTGTAAAACTGGGTCTATTCGAAACTGTTACAAATTGTAACTAAAATTAGGGTTCTCACGGGTCCTTGAGAGTTTGTGAATTTGAAAAAAAAATGATTTCAAGGCCCTGGAAAGTTTGTGAAAACAGCCAAAAATTACACTTGTCCTTGAACGTCCTTCAATTCTGGGGTTTTTTGAAGTTCTCTATTCACACAACTGATTTCATCATCTGTAATATATACATACATACAGCGGGTAAAATAAGTATTGAACACGTCAACATTTTTCTCAGTAAATATATTACTAGAGGGGCTAATGACATGAAATTTTCACCAGATGTCGGTAACAACCCAAGTGATCCATATATACAAAGAAATCAAAATGGGACATAAATGTCCAGAAATGAAGTTATTTGTAATAATG